ATTCCATTCAGAAGAGGCACTCATTTGGGAATCGCTCACAACCTGCGATTGAAGGCCAAGAGCATATCGACACGCTGGGCTGGTAGGAGCTGGAACCTCTTGAATACAAAATAGAATCAAACAAAAAGATAATTGAAATAACCTTAAAGTTAAAAAAAGTTTATAAATAAAAAGGGACAACTAAAAACAGTTGTTCGACGTCTTCATTGAATCAATACTTCAAAGTGACTATGCATTTTTGTGTGGGCTCCATTGCCACAAGGCTTCTACATTTATCTCCAGCGCGAAAGTTTTCACTATCCATACGGGGAGTGATTAAATGAAGCAAGAAAGGATGCACTGGTTTGATAGGGTGTCCTAAGAGCTCTGAAAATTATATAATTATATATATATATATWTTTTTTTAATAATTTTATACTCATTGGTGCTGTATGTGTATTGTGATAATTATAACTTACGCAAAAAGACTAGCTGTGAAGAGATAGCCTGCGTTGCGCGGGTTTAATTTCTCTCGAAATAACCGTCTGCGAAACAGCGCCAGAATCCTTGTTACCGTGACCCGAAATAAGAAGCGATTTCTGATTGGCTCTCGCCCGGTTCAATTCTTACGCGAACTCTGATTGGCCGGTAGCATATTCGAATCTCATGTACTATCGTCATGATAAACACAATCGCAAGGGAATTTTATAGCTCGCTTCAAAATGGAAATGTTTTTTTTAGACGGTAAGACAGGCTAATCTTTGCTCATAGAATTATAATTATTATTTATAATTTTCTAATTTATCGATATTTTTCATTTCATAGATTACGAAGGGTGATGACGTCATCACACATATCAGAAAACTATCCACTTCACAAATTGGTCTTATGCATGAGCTTAAAACTAAAGAAAACATCCTATACTATTTTAAACCTTTTTATAGCAATCGTGACTGGTGAATAGGTAAGATCTCCTTAACACCAATGTTATAGTTATTATCAATCGCTATCCAGAAATAAATTCTTCGTTTGCAACCACGTGTATTTTGCTGGTGCTAAAGTACTTTTTGGTTCCAATCAAAAAACAATCCTTATGACCATGTAGAGCTACTTATAATACAACGCTGAGCAAAAAATTGGAGCATTAGAGAATTTGTAAAACGAACTATGAGCGAACGAAGTTACCGATATTTTAGTGTAAATGTATGGCGAAAACTCTCTGGATGATATCTAGTATCATCCAACATGGCGGCCAAAATTTCAAAAAATATATTTAATGACAAAAATTCATCAAATTCACTTCCAACATGTACAAATCTAATTTATAGACTTGTACAACACTAAAAGATTTTGATTTGGCAAAAATATATGTATTTCTTTGACTTTTCAGAAACGTATTGAGCGTAGGGTGAGGATGTTATTATTTTCTTGGTTTATGATGTCACGTGCAAACGAAGAATATTCTCCAAGCTCACCCTCTTTTAGACGATAGACATAGTTAGCCCAAGGACCACCAACACACTCTTGTTCCTTAGATTTGTCACAGGGAGGTTTCCCATTGAACTGGTAGAACTTCGATGCCTCACCCTCGCCATATCTATCGTAGTTCTTCTCAGCATCAGGACCGCTCCAGCATTCCACGATGTTCTGTAAACCAAACACCTTGTAGCCCTTTTCTTTGGCCTTGGCAGCGCATCGACAGRCTAGGCTGGAAATTAAGAATTATTAAGTCACACCTTTTAATAAATATCCCAGAGCAGGAAACATGAATTACATGCATGGAGGAGGAGGAAGTGACTGACAAATTTTACTATTTGCTTCCACGGGTGTAGCCAAGCTTTAAATGAGGATTCCAAGATTATCGAAGGCCCACTCTCCCCTCTTTGGTGTCAGATCTACGAGAGACTACGCTCCCAGACGTTCTCACCTGTGTGCTGATTCCTCAAATGTTTTCCCTTCCGGAAATTTGCCATCATTTATAAGTAACTTTGGCATTGTTCTGTCCGCCTTATCGTTAAAGCCACCTACTTTATCATAGGATGTGCTGCATTTTGTAGGAGGCAGGGATGCTGTAAATGTAMAAACAACAAAGCGTGGGTTAGTAAGGTGTATAACAGAAAGAAGGAATGAAGGACACAGATAGCCGAGCGCTAGCTTACTGATGTTGAAGTGAGTTGCCATTGGCTGGTTGGTTGAACGTAGAGTAGTTGTTATAGGTTGTTTACCATTACATTGRAAATTCCGGTAATTCCAATTTTTCTGTAAATGGTACAACCTTCTCCCATCGGAAAATTTCTGGTAAAAGTGGAAATGCTCAATAGGTACCCCATTTGTTCYAGTGATCAGCCCAGAATAAACGGAGAATCGCGTACCATTTACACTTTCCACACATGCAAGTATCTCTCGGCCCCAGAACAGGAAGCCCAAAAGTAGAATTTCCAGTTGATATTGCAAATGAACACAAGCCTCCCAGGAATGACTGGGAAAAGGGAAACAGGGAAACCATTTGCTCATTCTGGATGAAGAGGGAATTCTAGTGGAATTTCCAATCTAATGGTAAAACAACCATAGTGACAGGTTGCTGCTAGGTGGTTGATTAAGAACCTAATTGTTTGGTTGATATTTGGTTTGYATTCTCACGACTTACCTTGAGAATAAGAAAACAACCCAGAGATGGCCACCAACATAAGCATGTGAGTCTCCATCGTTAATCACCTAGTTAAGCGTCAAAAGATAATTAATAAATATATGGCTTTTCCCCCTCACATGGCTTACTTTTGAACATTAAGTGAGCACGGAGAAAAAACAGTAGAAATCGAGTTATTTATGTGTTATGTACGAGATTRTRYTAACTAAATCAGTGATAAGAAGAACATTCATTTTAGTTAAGATAAAATAAGTGTGAAATAATAAAGTGAGATAAATCCATATTTGGTATAAAATAAGTAGTCGTGATTTAAGTCCTTAGGCCGTGGCTAAACGAGGAAACATGTATCCAGAAACATGCTTACCGCGCGCATGTTTCCTGGATGTTTCCCAGTGTAGCCACATGCCAAACATTGCTGTGTGCAACAAATTTTGCTTCCAAGACGCAAAAAATGTTTTTGCTGTGCGGCAGAAACATTTCATGTTTCCAAGACGCATGGAAACATTGTTTCCCGATGTTCCCTGACAGTTTTGCAACCTTAGGAAACATTTAGGGAAACATGTTTCCTCGCTTAGCCAGGGCCTAACAGAAGTGAGTACAGCTAATAATAAAAGTAACACCAAAATTTATTTTACATATCAGTTAAGAACAGTCAAACTAAAGGAATGAATTTCGCTGGAAAAACCAAAATTCAAAAACCTACGTCTAAAAGTCCAAACAGAATTCTACGGTTAATTCATATAAGGACAAAATAGTAACATGTAGGCATTTTTCTTCTATCTTTATTCGTATTCGCTATAAGCATAGTTTATGGAGTGGAATGGTTTGGAAACTCCATAGAACAAAGCACCGTGAACAAAGCTATTGTTTTGCCTCTTGATGTTGAATCGTACCATCACGTGTTACTGACGGTGCACAATGAACCAAAGCAAGTATGGCTTAAAACGATCATTTCCTTATTATTTTCATGTATGAACACTTTGAAAGTAAAAACTTTCATTCGATAACCAAAAACCACGCGAATAAACATTGCCGCTCAGACACAGTTAAGGCAAAAAACTTTTATGTTTCCTAATACTGTGCACAAATGGAGCAACTTTTCCTTCACTGTGCACGGTCAACGTCATATAAAAATGGATAAAGTCGAACAATAACATAGAACGATAGGTTTCCCAACCATTCCGCTCCATAAACTATGCTTTAAGTAGATGATTATACTTGTATATCTCATATGATTTGGATTGAGTGCAAAGCGCTCAGGACAGCGATGGATAAGCGCTATATTAAATTCTTTCACTAATCATTAATGTATTTTCAATTTCATAGTTTAACTTTATAAGAAGGACAAAATTTAAAGTCAAGTCTCGAGAATTCAGCGTATCCTATTCGACAGGTTCGAAACAATCAGGATCATGTTTACATGTGAGTCAGGTAGAGAGAAATACAGCACAAATTGAAGAATTTTCTTTCTTTCTTTCACGTATCAAACATTGTGTCGTATTTCCCTGTTTCGCTCTTTAAGAAAAAGGACTAGAAGAGCTTAGCAGCCATTTGACGAAAACCTCTCCTTCTCTTTCCTCCAAAACTTCCTCGATTTTCCAAAGTTTTTCTTTTTTTACTTGTCTTTTTTTATTATTTCATTTTCTTCTTTAAAAATGTTCATGTCGAATTCCTTATAAAACGACGGCCTTTTTTTGTTTTCCGCTTTTCCGCCACAATCCAAATATGCAATTGATCATACCATATATTAAGTGAGCTTTCTCTACTCCAACTTCGACCCTAACATATAAAATTGATCATACCATATATTAAGTGAGCTTTCTCTACTCCAACTTCGACCCTAACATATAAAGTAAAGCTTGATATGCTTCTTTCTTTCCTTCATTCTTTCTTTTCTTCCTTCGGTTCCTTTAATATTCCTATCTTTTTTTTAATAAAAAGCATATAGAAATCTGCTGGAATATATAACCTACGCCAGCATATATATTCACGTATTTATCCCTCTTTTCTTACCTTCGAATTCAGGGAATGTTCCTTCTCAGGAGATCCTCAATGATTTACACCGCATCTCTTGCTTCTATTTATACCAAATATTTAAAAACCACATGGCAGTTGCCATCCAAGTTAAAATTAATCAAAAGCTGTTAACAAACAAAAAAAAACAGCGCTTGTGAAAAGACTTCAAAA